GAGGGCCAGGATCCCTGGACACGGGGACTGGGGCATCAGTGGATATTGAGCTTCAGAGATGGCCTGGTGACTGCAGCGAGATGATCCAGCCAAACAGTTAGTGGAGCAATGATTGTTCAACAGGGCTGAGGAAGATTTAAGTAAAAGAATTATAAATGGCACTCTCTGAAATTTAAGAAAGGCACTAAGAGAAGAGGCTAGGTGAGCACAGCACTAGAGATGAAGTTAGTGCCCGTTTCTTCAACTAAAACTGTGTTGTTGTTGTTATTTTTCAGCTCTAGGGATTGAATTTGAAGCATGCAGAGCAGACACTCTACCACTAAACTTCACTGCCAGTCCCAGGATGTCTTTAATGTAACTGAAAACATAAGAGAAAAGAGAGAGAGACAGAAACAGAGAGAGACAGAGACAGAGACAGACAGAGATAGACAGACAGACAGAGACAGAGACAGAGAGACCTACCAAGCACCAAAATGCAAAATGCCATAATCCGACATGGCTCCCAGAAAAAAATTCCAGGAGATTTGGCAAGTCATACATTGCCCTGCCATATCTGTTTCCTGACCAGGTATGAATACAACCCCATCTCCTCTGGTCTCCATGAGCCTCAACCATATAAAATTGTTTGCTGCAAAACATAGGTTTGCCTCTCTGGCCTTTACACTTGGTGTTGTTTACTTTAACAAATATTTAATACAAATATTACTTCAATTTTTTTCCTATGCTCTTAGCCTAATTCCTACGCATCTTTCAGGGTTAAATTCAAACAATACCCATTGCCTCAACTGCATGAGCCATCCCTTTGTGTGGTGCTGACTTCAAGCATTTGTCCCATTACATAGTTTTATATTTGACTTTCCCACTAATCTACTAGAAAAGAGTTATTTATATATGACTTTCCCACTAATCTACTAGAAAAGAGTTATTTTTATGGCATAAAGTGCCCAGAATATACTAAGAGCTCAATAAATTTTTAATGAATGAAATATTACAGTAATGAATGAACAGAAAATCATGGAAGTACAGGGACAGAGGGATAATATTAATTCCTAGCTATTAGATATGTGCAATAAGTGTTCCCTATGGGTAGAAAAATTAGCTTTGGGGGAAAAAAATTACTTTGGGGAAAAAGAAAGAATGAAAAATGGCTTTTGAACACTACAAATTAAGTTTTCAAATCAGCAGAGGTCATTGGCAATAGAACTATTAAATTCTCAAGAATGAGGTACATAGTTCAGTTAGAAACTATCGCTCTTGTCTTCAAGTGTTTATCAGAGGAGAGGGAGTACTTGCTGACTATCACTCAGGCGCAGACACATTTTGGATTCATCAGAGCCAAGTCACTTTGAGCTGGGCAGCGTCATCTCCAGAGAAGAGGGTGTTTTCCTTACCTACCATGATGCCAGTTTCTTGTTCAACTTGTTTCACCTAATTGAGATGAAGCTGCTATATCCCTCCAGAGGGAATTCCCTGCTATAACTGTTCAATGGTTCAAAGGTAGCGAGGCGGATTTGGCACCAGGAAGGAAGGTCCTGTGTGACTAATCTGAGCGGGTGACACCCTCTAGCTTCTGCAATCTTGGTTATCCTCCACCTGGATTTCCAGAGCCTAAGACTTAAATGCAGCCTGGTGAATTGTCTAGGCCAAGTCTGAGTAATTTCCCCAACTTCGTTGTCTTTGTCCTCTTCTCATGTAGCTCAACTTCTTCCTGTTTAGTCTCCTCCATGGCTAACTTCTTAGGTCTCTGTTTGGCCCATTCATTTATTCATTTCTCACCACACATTTCTTGTGCACACCAGTGTCTCCATTTTTGTTCTTTACACAGAGTTCACTGTGCTGAACAAGAGGGAGAAGGTCTGTTTTTTCAAGCCCATTGCAGAGGCGAGACCACATCCATACCCAAAGACTGGCTCCCACCTCTTTATGACTTATTCTTTGTCTCAGTTGTATTCATTTCTGTTTTCAAGGGTTCTGTATCTGGAGTTTCAGTAAACATCACTGATTCATGGTCATCCTGCCAGTACCTCCAACTCAACAGAACTCACCCTTTTCCTCTCTGTACCAGTTTTTCTTGTGACTTCTCTATTTTTCTGTCATTAATGATCTGCCAGTGGTTGGGCACAAAGCCTCGGAGATACCCCAGTGCTTCCTCTTCCTCATTCCGATACTGCACCCAGCTTTGTCTGTTCTTCTTCCCTCCAGACAAATGCTTTTCACATCTATCATCCTTTTCTTACTCATTGCTGTGTGCAGGGTTCAGATTACCTTGTCAAGCCTGGACCACTGCACGTGCCCACAGTGGCGCTCCTCTAGCCGCATCCCCTCTAGAGCATCCTGACCATTGCTACCTGGTTAACCCTAAGGGCATGTCATAGAGCGCTATGGATGTTATGTAGGTCAACTTCTACCTTCCTGAAGCATTTCTCTCCGAACTATTTTCCTCCTACCATACACCACAAGTACACCATTTAAAGTCCTTGAATTGGAACTCAAAACATCCATGACTTGGTCTCCTCTCTCTTTCTCTGAGAATGTGTCCTCAAAGGTTCTTCTACCCTACCACCACCTTCTAAGACCCCCTTTCTCCTTCCTCCATCAAGTATGAAGCTAGTCTCTTTCTTCTCAAAAATGCAAAGTATAATATTTTGTTCAAAAGTTTAGTTTGGGAACCAGACACATCAAGTCCAAGGCCTTCTACTGCCATTTACAAGCTGTGTGCTCTTGGGATGTCTAACAGTCCTATGTTCCAGCTTTTTATCAAAAGAATGAGGAAGGAACTTACCTTGTGGGGAAGATGCAAGAATTGAATAAAATAATGCCAACCTTATGGTATATGATTGATCTCTCTAACATTTCACTATACTGAACAGCTAGAATTCCAAACCACTCTCCTAGTAGTACCCTTTTTCCCTGAAAATAAGACCTAACTGGAAAATAATCATTCTTGAAAACTAGACATCAAAAGTGCCAGCCTGAATCAGCCTATCCTTGCCTTACCTGCTTTACAGAGTAACCACCAAGTAAGAGAATATTTATGTAAAGAAAGGCAAGGATAGTCTGATTTAGGCTGGTGTTTTTAATCTCTAGTCTTCAAGTCTCATTATTTTCCAGCTAGATCATATTTTCAGAGAAATGGGATAGTAAGTGAAAATGTCTAGTGGGTCAAGGTACCTGGAAGCACCCCTTAAACACCCACAGCCTCCCATAACCGTCTGTCTTCCTGGTGTGTGCTTGCTGGGCTTCCTTGGTGCTGCCATCCTCACAGTTAGCGATTTGCTGAGCAGCCCCCTGCCTCATGTACACAGGAATTATTCCCATTCGGGTGCACAAGTCTCTTGGTGAGTGATCTTTCCTTCCCAAAACTTAGCTTCAGCTTCCTGCTCAAGGGCTGCCGCAGCCGTCAGGCTCGCTTACCAGTCTGTTCTGAGTCAGTCTGTCTCCATTCCTGACTCTCGGTCCACGGAGTCCAGGGTCTGTTGCTTCAGCACACATCACTCATCGCTGATGTGGAGGAGGCAGGTCCTTGGTGATGTCATCTGTTTGCAAACAGCTTCCGCAAATCCCCTCCCACAGGGAATCACAGAATCTCAGAGATGGAAGCGAGGGCCACTCTCATTTGTGGCAGGGCTGCCCTCAGGACTCTCCTTCACTGGGGGTCGTTTGACCTCAGCTTTAAACAGCCAGGATGAATCAAGGAAGCATTTATGACTTTGTCCCTGAGTAGGATACCTTGAATAGATGGCGCTGGGTGGACGCTGTGTCAGAGCTCACCCGTCACTGGGTCATTAATGCTATAGTGGTTGAGAAGCCAAGCTGTAATTTTCTAAGAGCCTGGGTGTGTCCACAGAGATCCTAGTACCTCTTGCCCTGGATGGTGGGGATTTCTAAAGTTGTAGAGCATGACAGTGAGCATAAGAGAATCCACTTTGGTGTCAAACAGATTTCAGGTCAAATCTCACCTCTATGACCCATCATTGGGAACTTGGACATCCACTAGCTGTACAGCTCTGACCCAAATTATTGAAACTCCCTGAACCCTAATACATAGAGAGAGATAGAAATTAATGTCTATTTTTGAGACATTAAGTGAGTATTAGGTGACATAATATGCCTCCGCATGTGTCTGGAACAACGTTAGTGCCACGTAAGTGGTAGCTATTTTATTACTTTGATTATCACCACTATTATTTCTCCCTTTCTGAACCCAGCTGACGCCATGCAGAAGGCTCATTTGTGAAACTTCCCCTTGCCTACAATGAGCAGGAAAAATCTGGCCCACGGGGTGAGTTTCTGTCCTGTTCAGGATGACACTACCACCCTTTCTGGAAAAGGAGATTCCCATATTTCTGAGCACAGCACGTCACACCTCACAGAGAGTAGGAAACCTGGGGGGCCCAAGCATGCCTCAGCTGCACAGGCGAGAGCAGGAGAGGGTAGTTCCAGTCTCCTGGAAGGCATAGCTTGGAGTTTCCTCACCAAGCCCACCAGGGTCAAGGATCCTCCATGACAATAAACAAAACAAAAGCAACAGCAAACAAACCTTAGCTGGCCCTAAATTCAAAGCTCCTAAAGTTTCCAGTCCGAACCTTGGCCACAAGCTGCCTGGACCTGCTGCTGGAAGTGCCCTGCTGGCTCAGGAAGGCATGGGGGACCCAGCAGAGCAGAGCAGTAGCAAAACAAGCTCTGGAGTCAAGTCCTCTTCTTCACACAAGGATAAGTGATGGAACAAATTACTTAAGCTCAGGTTCTTGTCTATAAAATGGGCATAACAGCACCCACCTCAGTGAGTCATTAGGAAAATCTGACGATGCTTGCCTCGCAAAATTCTTAGAATGCCTTCAACAGTTGAGAAGTGATCACAGCTATCCTAATTAATTGCCAGAACGCCACATTCTTTCTCTAGCATGAATAGTTTTTTTTCTCCCGTGAGCAGTGGAGAATGAGGTAATAAAGTAAGACAAATAAACACACAATGAAGAAATAAATAGGAAAAGAGATGGTCTCAGGAGGTAGAAGCTTTATTATGATATCTTCAAAGGACAACTCAGTAGGCATGTATTAAGCACCTGCTGTGCACAAGCCTCTGCACATAAGAGTCCAGCGTTCCACCCACGGCTCTCAGACCCTCAGAGGGAAAAATCGCATGGAAGGGTCACAGAGTTTTGAGGGGCTGAGAACAGAATGGGCTCCTGAACATCAAAGTGCAGTTAGCTTTGTGGGGTCTGAGTCCGAGGCCCGGCCCGCACAAAGCTGTCACATTGGGAGGGGGAGGGGGCAGGTGGGGTCTCTCTGGGCTCAGCGCGGGCTCCCTACTTCCTGTGGGCCTCGGGCAGACTCAGCAGCCTCCGCAGCAGCCGGAGCTCTGGTTATTGCAGGAGCTCTGAGATCTCTGGCTGCTCCTGCAGCAGCAGCCGCCCCCGCGCTGCCGTCGGCGCCTCCTGGGGAAGCAGCAGCAGCCGGTGGAGCTGGAGCCGCAGCAGCCGGTGTCTCCGCAGCAGCCGCCGCGACAACAGCCCCCGTCACCCACGCCAGAACCGCAGCAGCCTCCGCAGCAAGAAGAGGAGCGGGAGGGCGCAGGAGTGGGCACCGGGGCGGGGCACGGAGTGGGGCCCTGGGAAGACCCCTTGGAAAAGCCTTTGGCGGAAGACGCACCCTGCTGAGACATGGTTGGGCTCCTCAATGCGAACCTGGAAGAGAGACGGCTTTTCAGAGGGAGAGCACACCTTTGCAACAACGGGAAACCTGAGTTTGGGAATTTGCTCTAGTGAGCAAGTCACCTGGCATGGTGTAAAGAAAAAGCACCAAGAAAGGTTAGCAGCAAAGAAACACACCCGGAACAGGTGTTTCCAGCCAGTTAAACACACGTAGGGCAGGAAACCGCCTATGCAGAGAGCCAATGGTGGTTTCCCAGTTTCTGACCCGAATGAGGACCACCTCGGTTTCCAAGGTGGAAAACAGAGGATTCTGCAACAATGTATCGGAATGATCCAGTCCAAGCTCTCTCTAGGCTCCAGTCCTAGTTCCACTCCTTTGACTTTGACCACAGAAATTCAAGCAATATTTTCAAAGTTACTAGCATGGCCATTTTATCTGTTAGAAAATGCCCAAATAATACATGCGTCCCTGCCTCCTGGGTCCAAATATCCACAGACACAGAACCATGTTCTGGTTGTTCCTTCTTGGGGGCCTCACTGCCCCTGCTACCACTAAGGAAAGGCCAGATGTGCAGAGAATGGGAATATGCCCATCCAGAAAACCAACAGACGTGCGTTCTAGTCAGAGCTCTTCTAAGATTAAGCAACTTCTACGTCGCTGTGCAACTTGGTAGAAGTTACACACACCTGGCCTCTGTGTCCTCATTAGCACCGTGAGAGGTTGGCTCACTTGATGCCTGAGGGGCTCCTCAGGGCTCCTTGCACATCCACCTGCTGGCTAGAGTCTGCCTTCTCCTCCTCTCTCTATCTTCAGTTCTTCCCCTCTTCCTTCCTCAGCACCCACCTGGACACTTACCAGACGCTGGCTCCACTGGAAGACTCACTCAGTTCTCCAACTGGAAGGTGACACCTGCTACCGGTAGGCAGTAGACTGAGCAGTGTACAGCTGGGAGAACCTTTTATAAGATTCCAATCAAGCTCAGGGTTGGGAGGGGCCCATTTCCCAATACACATGCTCAGCTGACACTCACAGCACAGGAAGAGTCATCGCTCAGGTAGTACCGTAGGTGGTGCACGTGGATATCCAAGTCACTTCACAGGGGTGCCAGGATTGCTGTGGTATGTTTACTCTGCAAACAGGACACTGTTCCTAGCTGGGAGGGCTGTGTGTGTGCTTCCAGAAGGCATGGGGCTCGAGGGAAGGGAGATGGGCCCCTCTGCTTTGTTCTACAGTGTACACACACACACTTCCACTTGCCCACCCCTCCTTCCCTCCGCCGTCATCCCCTTGATAGTGAGTGGTTTGCTTGAACCTTGGTTGGCACCTCTCTGGCCTTGGCCTTTGGCAGCTCGGAGCAGGCCGCAGGCTATGTGTTAAGCCCAGTGGATTTCATCCAGATGATCCCAGACGGAGCTCAGTGAAGATGAGGGGTGCCAGAGGGCATTCCAATGGTGATTTCTATCTGTTACCAGAGACAGGAAGAAAAACCCAGGAAATTTAAGGGACCATGAAGACTAGAAAAGTTGTGAATGTGATCAGGTTACCATATTCCCATAATACAGACCTAGTGCACCTAGGAGAAAAAAGTGGGCAATTGCAAAGTGGCAAAGCAGCCTTCAGACCCTCTGCTTCTGTCCCCACCTGCTGCCTCTACCTCCCTTTGAAGTCAGGAGCTCCCTGAAGCCTTTGCCTCATAGGAAACAAAACAAAAGCCTAAAGGGATGGAAGGAGAAAAGGAGGAAGGGAGGAAAGGAAAGCCAGAAGGAAGGGAGGGAGGACAAAAAAGGAAGGAAGAAGGAAGGAAGAAAGGAGAAGGGAAGGTAAAGAAAATGAGATAAAAGAAGTCCTTTCCAGAGACCTAAGGTGTCCATGATGATTGTTTCTTTTATTCTTTGAGAATAACCAACTGTAAGAATCTGAGGAGACTTTGGCGGTCAGCTGCCTCAGAACTGCTTCTTGATCAATGCAATTGCCAGGCCATACCCGTGAAGCGGAGCTGTGAGAGAAGTTCCAAGATGAAGAATTCAAGGGTTCATGCTGAGAGATGGGCTACAGTAAGTGACCTTGGAACAGCATGAGGAAATGTACAAGGAAAGGCAGGTCATGAAAGACACCAGTTTCATTTAACATGGCTTTAGAGCCTGATTAACAGGTTACCTATACCTAGAGCACATCCTGACAGGTCTGGATGGGACATTCCGAGAAGTGAGGTCAGTAGTAGAAAAGAGAAGAAAGAGATGGAGCAGCAAGATGCCCGTCTCCTCTGGGGACCACACAAAGTTCTTTGAAAAAGAGTGAAGAACAAGTTGATAAGAATCGGTATGAGGAGAGATTTGGGCAAGTGGCTGTTGTCTCACAGATCTACCATGACCTCTTACACTACCTTACTTTACCTGTCACAGTTAATTCTTACTAAAGTAGAGGCCACGTGTGTAACTTGTATAGAGAAAGCTGATCCTATCATAAACTTTTTGAGAGTCCCCTGAAGGAACCAGCCCATTCCTAAAGGAATGTGATCTGAAAACCCCAAGATAGTGACTAAAACCCCTCTCCCACACACACACATAGACACAAACACACATACACACACACACCCCAAATGGTGACAGTCTTTGGCAGAGAATAGTGTATTTCTTGATTCTCTACTCAAACCCAAACCCAAGTTTTGAGAATCGAGGGGAAATGGGCTCAAATATGTCAGACCTGCCTCCTAAACTTGCTGCCACAGAAACTCTTCCCAGGCCCAGCTCTCCCCTCCATCCAACTTACCTGGGATTATAATAATCAGAAAAGTAGGGTGTCCATACATTGGCATTCAGCTTGAGAACTTTAGGCAATCTTATTCTTCAGTAATAGTAGGAAAACTTGCAGGAAACCCCCAGAATGTAACCTTTTGAGGTACCTCCAGCCTCGTTGCCTCAAACCATTCCTGTCCCTGCCCCCATCTGAACTTCTGTCCAGTACTCTAGCCTCAGACATGACTTCTTCTTCAAATGTGAAGTTCCCAAATTCAAAGCACTAAAGGAAATAATTGTTTCCTGGAGGTCTAAACCAAAATGTGCTTCCCAGGTAGATGTTTGTAAGTGCGCACTTGCACTTTAAAAAAGGGAAGGGAAGATGGCTTAATGTAGGAGGTAGGGGGCAGGGGAAGTGAACAGAGAATAACCAGGAGGCAGGGATACCAGAAATAAAAAGCTTTATTGTTGCAGAGAAAGTAGCATCACAACTGAATTTCAACACCTTGTGCTCCAAAGAACTGTAAGAAGGGAACCCAAGCCAGAGAACATCAGAGGTGAGACCTCTAAATCTCACAGTGGATGAACAAAGGGCAGAAGGAGAACCTCAAAGCATTTCAGAAGCACTTCTGCTGGAAAACAGGACAAGAGACTCCTCAGGGTGGATGGGTCTTCTGTTAACGCTGCTCCTTGGTGCTCCTTGTGGCCCAGTTCAGCAGCAGCCTCCAGAGCTCTGGCAGCAACTGGAGCCCCCAGACTGCTGGCCACTGCCGCCACCACTACTGCCAGAGGAGCCACTGCCACCACTGCTGCAGCAGCCACTGCCACCACTGCTGCCAGAGGAGCCACTGCCACCACTGCTGCCGCAGCAGCTACTGCTACTGCCACAGCAACTACTGCTACTGCCACAGCAGCTACCGCCACCGCCACTGCTGCAGCCGCCAGAGCTCTGGTGTCGGTGTCGGTGTCGGAGTCGAAGAGATCTGCGGGGCTTGTGGTGGCTCAGGCAGCAGCCGCCACCTCCTGAGCTGCAGCAGCCGCCAGAGCTGCAGCAGCCTCCAGAGCTGGAGCCACCGCAGCTGCTAGAGCCAAGGCTGCAGCAAGAAGATGAGCAGGAGGATTTGGGTGGGCATTTGGGGGTGCACTTAGGAGTGCTCTTAGGCGGGGGCTGGCACTGCTTCTGGCTTTGTTGGCAGGACATCGCAGCAGGAAATGAATGAGCTGAAAGACAGTACAAAAGTTTTAAATTCATTTACTCCAAGGTAACTTTCTCATATTTAAAAATGGAACTACGAATTTACAGGATTTTATGTCTAGGATGATCAGATTTTAAAAACCTAAGACCTGTCACAAAAGAATATGCAAATGAGTTAAACCTAGGAACTTATACTTTCAGATTAACCCCTTGCAACTTCAAAAAGGTGCTAATCCATCATGCCCTTCCTCTACCTTCCACCTTCCTCCCCTTTCCAACCTCACCCCCCTTCTCCTTGTCTTTCTCCAAGACTGTCCTCAGCCTCTACCCTGGGCCTCCTTCTGCCCAAAATGTCAGCACCAAGAGTCCACCCTGGTTCCCAAGGCGCGTTCCACCTGGCTCAAGCACTGGAGTAGATCACCCAGGAAGGACTGAGGTGGACTGAGGTACTGTAGGAAGCACTCGCCTTTTATACAGTTCGTCTCTGGCCTAGTAACTGACCATGTGCAGGACGCTGATAGCATCTTTCACACAGCATGGGTAACACCCTCCCCTCACATCCCAAGAACCCAATTCCTCCCTCCATAAGCATCTGAAATATTAACCCACAGTCAGATCCCCTGACAATTGTAGACCTCTGTGATGGAGATGGAGCTTTGCGCATTGCACACCATGCCTGTTAACCTCGCAGGCAGCTCTGCTATGCTCTCATTTCCTCAGCTGGGCCAGTCCTGTTCTGCACCTCTGGAGTGAAGAGAAGGTCTGTTTTCTCTTTGGAGTGGGAAATGGACAAGGAGATTTTCAATGTGGGAATTAAGTGACCCTTTTTAGAATAGAGAGCCAAAATAAAATCCCAAGCCCATACCAATAATCTCAAATGACTTTGGTCCTTCTCCGATGATGCCATAGCCTGCACTAAGAATGCTTGATATTCCAGTGATGTTATTTTAGGCAGGTCTAATGCAGATGGTGTGGGTGGTTGAACTTCTGTCCCTGTCTGAACTTGACACACCAAGACTCAGAAGTAGCACAGATTCAGTATGAGCAATCCCTTAGAATGGGTTGAAGAATTTCACAAATGATCTGTGCGTCTATGTGTGATCTTAAAAAAGACAGCTTTAGCTGGCCCAAGGTGGCAGGAACTACGAGAATACTGAGAGTGTAGGTGAGGAGCTCCTCATTGGCAAGTTGCCAGAAGTGAACATACCTAAGGCAAGAGCTAGGGAGATCCATTTTCTGTAAATGGCCTCAAATGGAGGTTCTTCTCTGAATAGGGACAGAGCCTGAGAGCTGGTGGAGGAGAAATGCACACCAGTTTTGAAAGCCCACTGTGGAATCCTAAGCTTGTTTTCCCTACCAACAATATTCCGAGGGTGAGATAGCTCTCCAGAAAGGCATCAAAATTGATTTGCGTGGGAAAAGTAGCCAAAATTTGGCATATTGGCAATGAAATTTGCAGGAGGAGAATATAAAACGGGAGAAACACACAGTACCTCAGTTCCATTCTGGGTTAAATGGGGTGCAATGGGAAGCATTGTGTCAGTTAGAATCCAGACTCTAGCGAGAGAATGTCTGGGTCCAGTTTCTAGCTTTGCTCTCCCTCTCACCCTGAGCAATCTCAGACAAATAACCTAATCATCACTGAAAAATAAAAATTGTAACAAATCCTAGCTCATTACACAAGATTGAGGCAGTGGGATCACTAGTTCAAGCCCAAGCTGGATGATTTAGTGAAACCCTGTCTCAAAATAAAAAATTATAAAAGGCTGGGGATATAGCTCAGTGTGAAGACCTCAGATTCGTTCTCCAGGATCCAAAAATATTTTTTAATTTTTTTAAAAAAGCAATACAAAATTCTCAGAAAATGGTATTGAACTGTGAGTTCAAAATGCTAGTCTAAAAACAATCTGTATCAGTGTATTAAAACATCACATTATACCCCCATAAATATGTACAATTTTGTGTTTTATGTCTGTATTTTAGAAAATTAATTAAAAACTAAAAAGCTAGGGTGTTTCAAAAATAAATATAAATAATGTAATCTTTGTGGCTACCCTTATTTCTGTGAGAAAATATATGCTACATTTCAAGTTATTGATCTGCCCACATTTGAAAGCAAAACTATTTTTGTAACAACAGAATTTAACCCCACTGTTTTCATATAGCAAAAGGTTGAGTACTCACTTGACACTGATAGATGATATTATAAAAGAAGCATACTTATTATTTAAAAAATTAAAAATCACTTTATAATCCCATCCCCATGTTACTATTAATATTTTACTATTTTCCCTCCTTTTCTCTAAATCATGCGTAGTTTTTTTTAGTGATTTGAGTTTACATAGTCTTTCTCATAGTATGTAATTGTTTATCTAACTTTTCACTTAACATAGTAATGTAATCACCAATTTTGGGGGACCATTATTTTGGGTACTGGAAGAATATTGCAGGGAGAGTGCAGAACCTATTTATGACTGGTTGAAAGCATTAGCTCTAGTGCCAGTCTCTAGGTTTGAGTCCTAGTTCCCCACTCACAATGGTACGGTCACCGTCTTCTCTGCAAAAAGGGGGAAAAGTAGTCGATTCCATAGGGATATTTGCATATAACATACATTAGCATCCATAAAGCTCTTGGCATAGTGCCTAGCATGAAGTAAGCATGCAACAAACCTTAAAGTGGAACTGCAATATTGTGCCACTTCTCAGTCTGATCTCACAAGTGGAAGAGTGGGTTTAGATAAAGACCTTCAGGTAGGGAGGCAGACAGGCTGCCTTGGCCACAAGATCTCTAGGTGTTAGGGGACCACCTCTTCCCCACTTGTTGAGAAATATAAAAAATAACACAAAACATGGGCTCAGAATTTCTGGAAGAAGCTCAATAGCAGTTAAAGGAATCACCCTTTCATGCATGGGTATGATGAATTTTAAAAGAAACAATTCTATCCCCTTTCACTTAAAATTATTTAGGTCTGCGCGCAACTACGTGATACATAGGTAAGGTCTTTGAGTTCAGAAACCCTAGAGAGATCTAATTTTCAGTGCTTTGTAGGCACTCGAGGCTCAATTTTAATTTTCTTGTTCAGCTGAATTTGCTGTTCAGAAAGGACGACAGATGCCCCCAACAAATACAAACCAAGATTTTTCTTTAATAAATTCCAGGCACATCATGGAATTGTGGAGGATGTGGAAAAGACTTGGCCATCATTCAGCGCCAGTGGTTCTCAACCGTGGCGAGGCCTGGATGTTGACATTCTCCAAAACTTCATGGGGACGAATGCACAGTCAGGATCAAGACTCACCGACTTCGACCACACAGCTTCTTTAACGGGAAAGGAAATTGAGACTCAGAGATGGAAAGAGGCTTGCCCTGGGTCACACGTAGAATGACAGGAAGAGCTAGAATTCAGTCCCGGGTATCAGCCCTCTTCCCATCACTTCCCTCTGCCACTTGAATGATCATTTATTTCTTCTTCAGGTGTTTTGGTAGCAAGCTTTATTTTACACACAGATGATCCTTCATATCTTTGGTTTCTTCGTCCATGGATTTAATCAATTACAGATCAAAAATACGCAGGAAAAAAGTTTCACTGTACTAAAAATGTACCGCTTTTTTTCTTCTCTTTATTCCCTACCCATGACGTATGACTCTACACATAACATTTACATTTACATTGTATTAGTATAGAAGAGGAGGTAAATAAGGTTCTACGCAAATACTGTGCCACTGATTATAGGGACTGGAGCATCTGAGGATTTAGAGTCCTTGAAGCACCCCACTGAGGATACGGAGGGATGAATGTGACATGCTTATTAAATCTGACTATTGAAACTGCAGTGAAATACTAATAAATGTAGTGAATCATGGCCTGCATCCCATGTTTAGGAAAGTTGGAAGTAATTCTTCTGCTACCTTCAATAACCAGAAACCAGGTATCAGTGTCTGAAAGGCAGAGTCAAACATTATCAGGGAGGGGTCAGTTGGCAGGTCCCCAAGAACCCTCCCCAGGTGACACCACCTTGATGACTATGGCATGGCCCAGAAGTTCAACCCTGTTCATGCCTCTGAACTTATCAGGCCTGGGGACATTGATTCATTGCACCTAACTCACAAGAGACTGATGACATCCGTTTACAAAGACAAACAGGAGTCTTGAATGTTGGCCTGACAGGTACATTCTCTTCCTTCCTGTAGGATAATTCAAAATAGTCAAGTCATAACCTGCACATGCTCGGTGAGCATGGAGTTGCATAATGAGCTCAAGTTTTAAAGGTGAACAAATCCTAGACATCACCATCAGGTCATCTAAACACTGCCAGTCCAGGACAGATTGGGCGATCCTGAAAGCCTCTGTCCCCAGTGGGCTGTCTGTGCTTCCTTGTGCTGACCCTGGCCCTAGAACCACCTGCTAGGGCCTAGACATTGACGCTGTCATCCATGTACTGATCGAGAATGTAACATCACAAAGGTGATCTTTTTTGACTTATTTTTACTGCTCACTATTGTCCTGATATATTCTTTGGGAGACAGAATGATACACATCTTGCCCTACACACACACGCACATACACACACACACACCCCCAAAACCTGTGAAATAATAACTTACCCAGAAAAAGATACTTTGCAGATGTGTTTAAGTTAAAGATCTTTAGGAGTTTTTCCTGACAATGAAGGTGGGATCAATAAAATTGCAAGGGTCCTTTTAAGGGGAGGCAAGAAGGTGAAGGTTAGAGAGAAAGAATGTGACAACAGAAGCAGAGATTGGAGTGAGGCATTTTGAAGAAACAGGAAGGGGCCATCGGCCAAAGAATGGGAGCAGCCTCAGGACATTGGAAAAGGCTAGGAAATGGATTTTTCCCGAGACTCTAGAAGGAGCACAGTCTTGCTAACACTCTGACTGTAGCCTAGAAAAACTCATGTTAATTCTGATCTTCAGATCTTGTAAGGTATTAAATCTATGCTGTTGAAATCCACTAGATCTGTGGTTATTTGTTACAGTAGCATGACTAACACACACACACAGTTCTAAAAACAGCCTTACATTTTAGAATATAGCTTAATCCATTAAAATGGGGTCGTTTATTAAAATGTCTTTCCATTGGCGGTTGGAGTTGAAGCCTATCTTATCTAGTGAACAAGAGGGTTCCCAGATGCTCCTGGGATGTAAAGGATGTCCTTCAGTCGAGGGAAAGCTCAGTAAGGAGACCACAGAATAAACTCACAGATAAATATGGTTTGTGGACTTTATTATCCATAAAATGAGGATGATAATAACAGTGTCCAGCTATTAATAGGGCCCACTGCGTGAGGATTCCACGAGGGAGTGTCTGTTAAACCTTTAGCCCTGGACCCAGCATGTGAGCAGGACTTGGTGACTGTTAATCTTTCTTATTTTTCTTATTATCACTACTATCGTCACGATTATCAGTGAAAACCCAGACGTGTCAGGATGGCTTCTAGGACATTCCCAGTGCCTTCT